GATGGCAAGAAAAAAAATTATATACAAAGTAATAGCACCATATGTCTAGGTGTGTTAAGCCCCTCATGTAAGTAGCCGACACGACAACTTGACCACTCACGGATCTACTGGCACATAGTTCAGTTGAGTTGAGTCAAGAATTGACATCATAGCACTCTGGGCATTCTCATGCATGCTCCGTCATCATCTTCAGCAGCCAGCGCAGAGTTCCACTACTTATGGAACCGGTCACAATCTGGTTAAATGTCCGTGTTGCCTTTCCTCTGAGTGAAGTCAGCCAGCCAAACCTTCTGGTTACACCCAGGTGCCTCATTCTCTCTAGGCCAGAATATTCATCTTTCTCCACTGATTTCATTGCTTGTTTCCAAAGGGCCTTGACCACATCTGCCTTGTCATGTATCAATTCACCACCCAGTGGTGCAGATCCAGCCAATCTGTCCACCTGTTCATTACCCACCAAGCCGGCATGGCCTGGAGAAAAGATCTAAAGTATGCTCACTAACTGTGATCTCAACACGATAGCCACCTCATTTATCCGAATTTTCTTATAATTTAGCCAACTGTGCTGCAGCTTTGACTGAATCCAAATTGTGTTTTGAAACTCAAGCTGCCCCAGCCGATTCCCACGATACAGACACAGATTTAGGATATGTGATTACTGAGTAATGAGAGCTATCATTATAGCGCATCTGACTCATCCATAAGTGTTCCGAATCTCCTCCTTATCTATCCCACAAGTGGGTTGATCACACACGTTCTTTAATTGATTTGATTCAATTTGATTTAAGAATCGACATCACAGCACTCGGGGCATTCCTATAAGCGTTCCGTCCCCATCTTCAGCAGCCAGTGAAGAGTTCCGATACTAATGGTGCCAGTAGCATTCTGATTAAACGTCCGTGTTGCCTTTCCTTTGAGCCTCAAGCATCTGCCAGAACCTCTCGTCACTCCCCGCTGCATCAGTCTCACCAGACTGTGGTGATCCATCTGCTCCTCCGAACTGTACACGCTCTCCCACAAGGCACTAACCACGTCTGCCTTATCACGTTCCACCAGGTTGTGCAGAGCCAGCCAGTCTGTCCGCCTGTTCATTTCCCAACACACCGGTGAAAAAATCCAGACAATACTCCTCACTCGTGTCCTCCGCAGTGAAGCATGCCACTCTGCAGGAAGCATACCTGTTCTCATCTTCCTCAGCACGCTTTCTGAATCAGTTACAATCACGATGTATGTGTGTGTGTCGTTTTCTCTAGCCAGCGGAAAGCTGCAACACGTTCTTTACTGGTTAATCACATGCCTTGTGCATTACATTAGTTACATCTCGCCTGCCCTGTCCTATTCATGGTAATTGCATTGCTCGTTGTCTGAAACACCTGCTTAGCCCGACACAAAGATAGCATTTAGACGAGTCAGTGGCGACGCGCTTTTTTTAATGAGACAATCCATTCTCGTCTAATGTAGACCGTTTGAATTTGTAAAAGCATATTCTTGCAGTCAGCCAGTGTGCACGCATGAGCGAATTTCTTAATACAGTGTTTCCCAAGCTTTTCTCAGTCGCGGCGCCTTTATTAAATTAAATTTTTGTCATGCCTTGCACGATGGTATTGGGCATTTGGGAATAAACTCATTTCTTTGCATAAACATATACTGATTTTTCTCTAGACCAATCAGCTCTCGGTGAGTGATTCACTCCGTAGTTAACTTTTCATGACATTCCATGGTAACCCATTTTAAGCTGGATCGATCACAGTTCGGATTTGAACCCAAGACCTTCGGCTGGTAGGCGAGGGTATAGACTCATTCATGCGCTGGCTCATAATGTAATGAATTCGTTTTCTTCTTCTTCTTCTTCTTCTTCTGCTGCTGCTGCCAAATTGTCACACGTCTTCTTTCTTGATCTTTCTCTCTCTCTCTCTCTCTCTCTCTCTCTCTCTCTCTCTCTCTCTCTCTCTCTCTCTCTCTCTGTGTGTGTGTGTGTGTGTGTGTGTCTTTCTCTGGCTCTCCTTCTACAAGTCTCTGTTTACTCTTCTTCTTCTTGGCGTTCACCAGCTGTAAACTCTGGTGGAAAGTTCTGGTCGTTCATACATTTCTAGACTGCAGTCCTGTTCCAGAACCTGAGTGCTGCGTGTGTATCCGTTTTACAGATCTGACTCGTTTGTATGCAGACTGCTTGTTCCTTGCCTCTCAGGCAGATGCACTCAGACTTTTAAGGAAGCTCCCAATTAGTCGATTCCTACGACATGCTTTTGGGCAGGCAGTGGGTCTATTCTTGTTTTCCCTATAACAGGGGCCCCGGAACCCACACGGCGATCTGTTAACTCATATTTGCTATCTCGTTACACACCCAGTGAAAGTAAAGTGTCCATCCCCCCCCCCCCCCACCTCCAAATAAATTTAGTCACACTCGTTACGTTTTCAAGGCTAGCTCATTATGTCGTTTCATGCTTCTCCCACCACTATTCTTTAAAACCACAACTACCTAGCTTCCATATAAGTTTCA